TAAAAACCAACTTTAAAATGTTTAATAAAAAAATTAATTAATATTTATATCGAGAAAAATATTGAGTTAATGAATGATTATTTATCAATGAAATTATCTTTAGCTTAAAAAGAATAATGATTTATATTTAAACACTAATTTTACACCTATTTGCGTCAAAAAACTTTAGAAATAACGATTATGACAATTGTCACATATCTATAGTATACCTTCACTGAAATTTTAATTTAACATGTTTAGAACCTATATTTAAACCCATTTGCGTAAAAAATTAAATAAACCTCAAAAATAGCGATTATGATAATTGTCACTTATCTAGGGTACATCTTCACTGAAGTTCTATTTAAACATGAGTAATACTAATTTTAGCCCATTTACATCAAAAAAATTTTGAAATAACGATTATGACAATTGTCACTTATCTAGGGTACATTCACTGAAGTTTTATTTAAACATGTTAGCAATACTAATTATAGCCCATTTACATCAAAAAAATTTAAAAACTTAAAAAATAAAGATTTTGACAATTGTCACTTATCTATAGTAAATCTTCAAAAAATTTTATTAATACATATTAATATTTACAATATATATTTATACCCATTTGCGTCAAAAAAATTCTAAAATCTTTAAAAATAACGATTATGACAATTGTCATTTATCTATAGTACATCTTCACTGAAATTTTAATTTAACATGTTTATAACCTATATTTATACCCATTTGCGTAAAAAAATTAAATAAACCTCAAAAATAGCGATTATGACAATTGTCACTTATCTAGGGTACATCTTCACTGAAGTTTTATTTAAAAATGTAAGCAACTAATTTTAGCCCATTTACATCAAAAAAAATTTAAAAACTTTAAAAATAACGATTATGACAATTGTCACTTATCTATAGTACATCTTCATAAATTTTGTTTTAACATATTTACAATATATATTTTTACCCATTTGCGTCAAAAATATTAAAATTAACGTTATGACACTTGTCACTTTTATATGTTACATCTTCATTGAATTTATAATTTAACCTCTTTACAATATAAATATGTCAAAAAGTTTCAAAAATGTTTAAAAAAACGAATATAACAATTGTCACATTAAAGTATTTTCCTTTAAAAATACATATAATATAACATAAAAAAGTTTAATATAAATATTTTTAGAAATTATTTAGAAATTTAATATACAAAAAAATAGATAATTTTACAAAGATGATTAAAAAAAACATAAAAGATTTCACCTCAAATATTGTTTATTTATAAGAAAATTCTCCAAAAAATTGCTCAAATGAAAATTTAAAATTCTTATTTTTGAATTTCAAAAAAAAATTTTTTGCTTAAAAATTTGGGCGCGTGAAAATCACTAATAAATTGTAACAAAAACAATATTACATATCATTTTTTTTATTAAAAAAAACATCAAATCAATAAACTATTTCATAATATAATATAATATAAATTATTTTTAAAAAAAATAAATATATATTATATTGTTTTAACATATAAATTTTTGGCTTAAAATTAGACTCGAGCCAACTCCTGAGCCGGCTTGAGCCTAAGCCAATTTTTCGGCTCTGACCTTTAATATTTATAGAATATTGATGCTGTAATAAAGTTTGGTAAAAAATTCGATGATGAATTTCATTTAAATAGTGAAGAATGTAAATTTTTAAAGGAAGTAAAGTAGAATCCTTTTTATATCCGTTTTACAAGATTACTTGTGAAGTAAGTTCCGAAACCTATACTACTGTATGACATCACTTGAGCGAACCATCGCATCAAATGCAAGTGATCGGAACAAAAAGGCAGCTCTAAAAATGAAAAATAAATGCAAAATTTATTATGATGATATGGATACATTTGAAAATTATATTTACTCTTTCCTTGACCCACGGATTAAAAAGAAATATATACCAACTTATATGAATAAAGTTGAGTATTTCGATAAATTAAAAATTTTTTATAACAAATATAATCTTCCCGGCACATCCAATATTATGAATATAACAACGAGGAAAATCCATCGAATTTGATGTCGGTATCCATATTTAAAGACCTCAAAAAGTATAAAAATTTATTATATCATATATTTTTATAATTCGTTTTTAAGGGAAGCTTTTGATTATCCAGAGCCGTCAAGAGAAGAAATGGATGATTACATTGAAAAACCTGTTGCAAAATAAACATTAAATGTTTTGGATTGGTGGAGTTCAAACAGCCACAGATATCCAAAATTAGCTATGATGGCCAAAGATTTCTTTTCACATCAATCTACCTCAGTGCCTAGTGAAAGAGTATTTTCGCGTGCTGTAGATACGTTGACAAATAAATCGTATATCGTAGACAAAATTGAACGATTAAAATATTTAATATATTAACCCTAAAGGATAATTTTTGGATATGATTTTTTTTGTATATAAATTGTTATTACCATAATATATAAATCAATAAATATTATAAAAAAATTTGTTATTTCTGCTAACAATAATAATATAAAATATCTTTTTTCAATAATCAAATAGGGTTTATGGACCCAAGGTATGTTGGAAAGACTCTTGCATAAAAACGATCAAATAATATAGTTCCATTTGTTAGCTATTACTTTAGTATAATATCATATATTTAGTTTATTTTGGCTTAATAGTTTTAAATATAATAATTAAATTAAATATTTCATGTAATAAGTAAGTGAAGATAACTATAGTGGCTATTTTTTTATTTTTTTTAAATTGTAAATCAAATTAAGTAAATTAGTAAAAATGGAAAAATTTAACCAAGAATTTTAAAAAGGAAATAAAGCAATTTTTTAAATTGTGAATTTTCCAGAAGATAATAATAAAAAAATATATAAAAGTTTTAGACATTAATTGAAAATATAAATATATCTTTTTTGAGGTAATGATTCTCTCTCACTCAAATAATGGGTGGGTGGGTAAAAATTTTAGACTAATGGGCGGGCAGACGGGTGGTTAAGGAATCATAGACTAATGGAGGGGGGGGGGCGATTATATATTTTTTTTAAACTATGGGCGAGAGGGTTAATTTTTTTTATAATTGGCCACCTCTAGTCTGGAGCCCACTCATGTGGCTCAATGAGAGGATTTTCCAACAGGAGACAAAATGGATATATACATTATAAGGTAAAATAATTTAACTCTGTTGATATTGAAGATAGAAATATCAAAAGTCAGTTCAAGGAATTTAAATATGATGGTTAGACCTAAAACAACATTTAAAAAATCCAAGACGGGCAGGCCCTGAATATATAAATCCCGGGCCATGCCGAAAATATTTTTAAAAAAATCCATCCCATGCAAATGATACCTTTGCAGTGATATTAATAAGGCCATATATAAAAAATAAAAATTCATGAAAAAATAATTAATATTAATAAAACCACATTTTAAAATGCTAAAAAATCATAAACAATAATTAATATTAATAAAATCACCTTTAAAATGCATATATAAAATTCATAAAAAAATTTATTATTAATAAAATCACCTTTAAAAATGTCAATATAAAATTCATAAAAAAACAACTTAATATTTTCATCAAATCTATGAAAAAATATAGAAATAAAAATGTTATAAAAAAAATAATAAATGTAAAATAAAAAAATCTTTGAGTAATTTTTCCAAAGAAAAATCCATAACGATTTCAAACAATTGAAAGATTGTGGTAGGGCCTAAAACATTCATGAAAATGGGGAAGATTGAGTTAATGAAGGATTTTTTATCAAAATATCTTTAGTTAAAAAGGAAAAAAAAAGATTTATATTTAAATTTCTATATGTAAAAAATAAATTATTAAGTAAAAATAATAATTTAAAAACAAAAAAAAATTTTTTTATTTTAAATATGAAGGGGCACACAAATTCTAGATTATTATTTTCTTCTAATATATTTAAATAATATATAAATTTTGGTTCAAAATTGGACTCGAACCAACTTCTGAGCCAGTTTGAGCCTGAGCCAATTTTTACAACTCTCTCTTGAGGTAAGAGCTATAAAAACTCGAGTCTTTAAGAATTATTCCTTGATTACTAGCTAAATGTAAACTATGGCATAAAAAATTAGATATAGTTGACACTTCCCAAAAAATGCCATAAATGGTTAGCATAATTTTAAACACATTTTAGATTATTTTCCTAATATATTAAAATAAAGTACTTCCACCCATGAAAGAACATTTTCTTCTTCTAACAAGAATAAAAACATATCTGAGAAGTAGTGTTGTTAAATGGCTTGATTTGAACTGATTTTATAAAATGGTAAATTAATATTTTTGACAGAAAAATATTTCCCAAAATTTGGAACCGGAGCACTTGGAGCCACCTCAAATTTAGAAACCAAAATCAGAATCCACTTTTCAAAATTTTATAAACTAGAAAACTACTTTATTCAAACATTTGTAACTTGAACCTTTCAGATTATAGTCTCTACTCAAAAAAATCTACAATCCATGATACATTAATAATATTTATTCAAAATTTTAGATTTTATACAATATTTCCCTAATATTTTGATTTATTTCTTTTATATCTAATCCTATTTTAAAATCTCACATTGACATTAGAAGAGTATTTTTTTTAAAAAATAAAATTTAACATCTCAAATTCAATTATTATTTTTTTTTAAACAAAAAAATAAGTTTTAAAAAATTAATTATATCCAAAAATCAAATAAAACTACTGATATATTTTTTTTCCTTTGAGATAAAAAATTTATGAAATATTCCATGAATTCAAGCATAAACATTGCCTAAGCATTTCCAGCACCATTGGATTTCTTTTTTTTGTCATCCCAGCAGCGCACACCTCACAAGTAAGTGAGTTTTTTTCAAGAGGAGTGGACACTATGACAAAAAAATCAAATATGGCAAAGGAAATTCTAAAGCAATGATTATACTAGAATTTGTGGAAATGTTATGATTGATCAATGCTGGACATGAATTTGCATTATAATTATTGTTTGTATAATTAAAGCCTTACCAGCATAACCAGGTAACAAATGAAATGGGTTTAAAAACCAAATATCATAACCACTGTGTACATCAATGGTTTCCAGGAGTCTAAACAAAACCCAGATCCAAAGCAATATCATATGAGTTGTGAAAGTGAGAATACCTATGAAAAATCCCATACCTAAAACTAAATAAATTTTGAAAATTATTTCAAAAAATTATTTTATCATATTTATACCTAAAGTTTCAACAGGATGGGCATATTCAGCTACCATACCAAAAGGAGCATTAAAAGTATGATGTAATTTATGAACATATTTATAAAGTTTTCTATGGTGCATCATTCTGTGCAAAAAATAATGCCAAGTATCTTCAATAATAGCACACCCTATAACCTGCAATCCTATAATATACCTTAAGATATTATTAGCTATAAATCAATTTAAGTTCTAAACCATCGTGGCATTTTTTCATATTCTAAAGGTATGTTTAAAAATTCAACAAAATAATATGTCCCCATAATCAAAGGAAATTGTATACATATATGATTAAATAATAGAAGTTTAAAACATTTCATTTGAGCTTCTTTAGTTTCAATTATATTCTAACATTTTTATTAATGACAATAGATTAATTATATGTACTTGTTGGATTTTGAATCTTTGCATAAATGGTATAAATTGAAAAAGAAAAGCAGGCAGACATATTGCAAAATAAAGAATCTACATCAATTGATATAACAGTAGTCATAAAAAAATATCTACTTCATGGACAAATAACGAGCCAAATGTACAAATTTGCCATTTGGAATATGTTTTTAGCATCAATTCCCAACCATTTTGAAAATAGCTAGCTAGAGGATTATTAGGAAGGTAATGTAAAACTGATTCCACACTTTCTAATGACATTCGTGATTTATGTCTTGCTACATTATAAAAAACGTGACTAACATTTAAAAATGAATTCGTCCCTGGCGTTAAAAATGTAAGTAGTGCTACCCATTATTCAATCATTAATTTAATAAATATTTGCTTTTAATGAATTATGATGAGGTGGGTTTGCAAAGGGGGTTACGGTTAAACCCCTGGTTAACTTTTTATTTTTAGCCCCCTTTCCAAGCGACTAAGCACTATCCCTTCCCGCCAAAAAATTTAATATTTTTTCAAAAATATTCCCTTTTCATTTATGTTATAAAAATTATAATTATTATATGGTCAAAATTTTCCCGATTCTTATTCCCCCATTTGGGGGGTGAAGAGAGGTGGGGGGGGGGGGGGGGGTAGAGACAATGATTTGGGAGGGCAGTTAAGAATTTTTTTAAAATTCCATAGAACGAATATTTGAGTTATTTGAACATAAAATTGTAATATACAATATTTTTATTTGAAAAATGCCACATATAAAAATATAATAAAAATATAAATATGGTCAAAATGTATATAAAATTAGATGAAAGATGAGAATCGACTTACAATGAAACGTTTGTTTAATGATTTTACAGGATAAAACTAATAAAAATAAAGAATTAACAATATAATTTTGGTTGAGATGTGTTTTTAAATGCCTTATTTCTAAAGTTAATAGTTTCAGTATTTTCATGTCCTAGAGTAAAGCCAAGTAACCCTTTGTCAGGGGTGTCGCTAGCCTTCACAATCTCAGGGGGCTCAACTAAAAAAAAATTTATAGGGGGAAAATTTGTTAACTCTCAACAATTATTCTTATTTAATATTTTGTCATTATTATATTATGCATACAAAATAAACTGGCATATAAAAAATGAAAAAATGCAATTATATAATTCTTAGCAACTTACATTGACAAAAGGTTATCAAACTAGTCATTGGCGTACGCAGCGGGGGGGGCAGGGGGACAAATCTCGCCCAAAGCCAAAAAATGCAGATGCCGCATATATTTTTCAAAAATATTATTGTTTATATTAATTTATATTTGTTAATATTTATTCGTATCTCATATTAAATATATATTTAACTACATTTATTATCACATTTATCTACTAAGTTATTTTATCAATTAAATTCGATTTCAAGTTTTACGGCGTAATATTTACTTATTATTTTCAAATTTTTAGTGGCGTAATATTTATCTATCATTTTCAAATTTCTAGTCAAATAATAATTATTTCTGAAACTTCTTGTCCAACAGAAAGAAATTTCAAGTCCAACGAGATAGAGTCTCTGCCATCAAGCAGAAACAGCTTTTAAGGAGTTAGAAGAGCCATTTATTTGCTATTACTGAAATATCACAATGGCCTGGAAGAAATATTTCCTCAGAAGCAAGAAAATTATTGGATACAATGCTTATTCCAAATTTTATTTCTCATTAGTGTTCTAATATGTATAAAATATATATATATAAGCCTCAAATGTCAATCAGATGGATTGTAGACATCTGATTGGAAAAAAAAATTATTATTATTTAATGTAAAAATAATAATTATTATTACAATAATATATTGTTTTTAAAATACAATTTTTATGGATTTTGATTCATTCTTTTTTTGTTATGAATTTGATTCATTATGTATTTTTCGGATAATTTTTATAAAAAATAAAGAAATTTTAAATAATTTAAATATTGTGTTTTTTTTTATATACAATTCGAAAAACTTATTCAGGAATACACTTAAAAAGTGTTGACCGTTAAGGTAAAAAAAAAACTCCTTTTTATTTTACATATTATATGCTACCTTATGACACAACGCAATAATAACGTTTTTGTTGTTTAAATTTTTTTTTTGAATTTTAATTAACAAAATAGTTTGGAAAATATTTTTTTTTAGGTTAGTTCGATTAATATCCAGGCTTTATAATATAATATAACTTTTTGTAATAACGTAATTTTAAATTTCGTAATATGCGATGGTTGTGTATTTCAATAAGTATTCTGAGCCTACTTTTATTAATAAAATTGCCATCTTTAAGGATATGGGTTATAAAATCTTGTATCAGAACCTTAATGAATCGGATATAGGTCATCACTTAGTTACATTGGGATTAATAATAATTCTATATTTAATATATATACTTTTGAAATTTTTATGTGGAAAATGTATTTTGGTTGCGACCAAGGTATATGGTAATTGGAAAAAGGACACTCTGGTGTCTGTTAATTGTTTTAAGAGAATTTCGGACTTGGAAAGTAGAATTTTAAATGAAATCAAGAACGGCAAACTAGGAATGGTTGAAACGATGAAAGATAATAACGATGATCGTTTGGAATTTGTGGAGAGATAAGTGGTTATCCTCCAGGAATTAAAAGATATAAAAGAATCCATTAAAGATATTTCTAGTGATGTATCCAGGTTGATTAGTATGAATAATCAAGGGGATAAGAAACAATTCGGTGATAGAATTATTTCAAATGGAAAGAGTTTTCCAAAGATTATTGCTGACATAATTTGTAATCGGTGCGGTTACAGGAGTCATTATGCCAAAACCTGTATTGTAAAGGAACAGAATTTTAGAATGGGTTTTCCATTGCAAAAATCTAGTGGAGAAAATTCCAATGTAAGGAAGATTTCAGGCCTAGATGTAAATAAAGTTGATTCGTTGAAATTGAATTTGGATGGGTCTCGTATATGTTTTAAATGTAAAGAGACGGGACATATATCTATAAATTGTGATTTACACTGACTATATGATAGCAAATGTAATCATATAGCAGTTAGAATACAGGGAAATAAAAATTTTAAGAAAGTATACTATAATAATAAAAAGAGATAGGATTCTCATAATTTTAATGGTTTTAATGAAAATTTTTGTTATCATGAAGATAAAGTTAAAACGGTTGATTATAGTTTTAATGTGAATATAATGAAAAATAATGCTTGTAAATGGGAAAAATTTCCTGGGAGCATTGTGAAATATACAAATAGAAAAAATGTTGATAATTTTAAATGGGAAAAATATCCTCGGGATATTATTAAAAAATATAGTTATATTAGTAAAAAGCCTCGAAATTCCGAGTTGAATTTAGGAGGAAATTTAAATTCTAATGAAATGCATATTTCAGAGGGAATATATAGCGATCAGCCCCTTAAAACTTGTGAAATTTAAAGGACTGATGGAATAAATAGACTGGGTCAATGTCCTAGGGTTAACTTGTGAATTGACTGCAGGTATATTGATATGCTATTTGACACTGGTGCGAGCATTTCGATAATGTCTTGTGAAAATTTTTATAAATATTGGCCTAATGGCGTGATTATAAAGGAAAATATGTGTTTAAAACAGTTCGATGGTTTTGAAATTGAGGTTTTGGGTAAAACTCAATGGTATGTGGTTTTTAATGATACTATCATAAGTTTAGATTTATGGATAGTAGGAAAAGCCATGGAAACTATTATGGGGTGGGATTGGATTACCACAATTGGACCCTATAATAATTATTGGAATTTATTTATTATTGATAGCGAATTGGCTAGAGAAAATGTTAAAAGAAAATTAATTGCGGATAGTATCCGAAAGGAACTTCAGGAAAAAGGGATGTCTAAATTATTTAACGATGGAAATAGGATTGTCGTTAATAATAATTTTATTGAAACTCCCAAAAAGGTAGTGATCGGTTCTGATCATACCGAAATAAATGGTAAAATTGATAGGGATCAATTTATGGAAATTGAAATCGATGGATTAAAAAAGATCGATCTGGCTATACCTATTTTGGTTAGAAAATATGGTATAATTTTTGAAGAAAAATTAGGACGTTTAAATGATTATCAAGTAGACGTTAAGCTTAAAGAGGGTTTTTCACCCATCTTTTTGGCTTGTCGAAGAGTTCCTTTTGAGTGGAAAAGGGAAATCGACGAAGAATTGGATAAATGGGTTAGAGAGGGCATCATTATTCCTGTGGAATATAGTGAGTGGGCCATACCATTGGTACCTGTTAGAAAATCGAATGGAAAGTTAAGGCTATGTGCTGATTTCCGTGTAACCTTAAATAGATGGGTAGTGGAGGTAAAATATCCATTGCCTAGGATTGAGGAGATTTTGGCCAGTTTAAAGGGTGCCAAGTATTTTTACAAGGTTGATTTTTCTTCGGCTTATTTGCAATTGCCTTTGAAAGAGGAAATTCATAAATTATTTACAATAACGACTCCGAAAGGATTATTTGCCTTTTGTAGGCTACCGTTTGGATTAAGTGTGTCAGCGCCGATATTTCAGCGCACTATGGCATCAGTTTTTTAGGGCCTAGAAGGAGTTTATTATTATATGGATGATGTGTTGGTGACTGGTATAACACCAGAGCAACATAATCAACGTTTGGAAGAGGTTTTCAGGCGGATTCGTGATAAGGGTCTGAGGGACAGCAAGGAAAAGAGTGTTCTTGGGGTAACGGAAGTTATCTACTTAGGACATTGGATAAATGGAATGGAGGTGAAACCTCTGGAAAAAAATTTAAAAAATATAACGAATATGAATCCGCCAACCAATAAAGCAGAGTTGCAATCATTTTTGGGTATGGTAAATTATTATCATCGTTTTGTGGAGGATTTTGCAAAAGTGGCATCTCCATTGTATGGTTTATTAAAAAAAGGTGTTCATTTTGTGTGGAAAATTGAACAGAAAAATGCTTCTGATATTTTAAAAGGAAAAATTGGTGAGGAACCGATTTTGGTATGTTTTAACAATGATTTAGAGATCATATTGGCAGTTGATGCATCCAACAAGGGAGTTGGAGGTGCATTGTTACATTTAATAGATGGTGTGGAAAGACCCATCATATTTTTTTCGAGAGTTTTCAGGGAAGTGGAAACTAGGTATTCGGTTATTGAACAAGAAGCCCAAGCGGTTATCTTTGGATTAACCAAATGTCGTGAATATTTGATCGGTAAAAGATTTATAATTTACACAGATCATAAGCCGTTAATTCATTTATTTAAAAAAGA